TTAAATTATTTTTATAGTATGTTGTATATTTTAATATGTATTTTATAATATTTAATCATATTATTTCAAAAATATAAATATTAATAATAAATAAAATATTTTACATTCACGTTAAAGTTCTTTTTTCTTTTATATTTTTACTTTCATATAAACATTACTATTTTTCTAATAATTATATAATTATAAATTGACCCAAGGTCAAGCCTCATTTATAAATTTTAGTGGACCAAAAAAGTAAATTGTCACTTTTTTGGTATTAAATTACATATTAAAAAAAGAATTTTAAATAAATGTTTTATTTAAAATGAAATTACATATCAAAAGAAAAAAATTTAAGATTAAAAATGAAAATGAAGTAAAAGAAGACAAAAAAAATGAAGAATAAGGTAATAATATATAAAATAAATATAAAAATCTAATAATATATATATATATATATATATATATATATGAAGTAATTTGTAAATAATATATAATAAAAAATATAAAAATCTAAGAAAATCAACACCCCTTACTAAGGGGGTGCCATTAGCACTCCCCTTATAATCAAAATTTACGTTTTCTATTTATTTTCAATTTACAAGATTTTTAAAAAAATTAATCACATACTCAAATACAAACTTTATAATTATTACAAATCATAAAAACCAATTAAATAAGATATTTATGAAAAATAATGAAAGTTTATTATTATGATCTAAATATATGAATGATGATTAGTATAACACCCCCAAAGCAACAGACGAACCCAATAATTTCGAATCCAACTTAAAACCATGGTGGAAGTTATTGATAGTCTACTACTTGAGACTTATAAGAAGCTAACAATTATCACTTTCTATCAATGTGGGACAAGTTGTTACAAACTCCCCACTTAAAATCCTAACATCCGCGTCAGGCCTAGCCAAAATCTTCGTCCTTGTCATTGGCAATGTGGGAGTCGTCTAAGATGTTACAAACACCCCCTCTCGAGGACCCATCATACTCGATGAGGTTTGCCCTATCATCCCAATGGTACAATGATCGGCTCTGATACCATTTTTAAAACTCCCAAAGCTCAAAGCAACAAATTAACCTAATAACTTCGAATCCAACTTTCACCACAGTTTTACATCAGATTTAAAGTTATTGAGTTAGCCTATTGCTTTGGGCTTTTTGGGTGTTACAAATGGTATCAAAACCAGATTTAAGAGAATTAGGTTATGATGATAGCCTAAGCTTAAACTGGGAAAAGTATTAAGGGATGCAAATTGAATGAGCTAGGTTACTATTAGCCTAGACTTAAATGCAGTGAATGGGTCAAAGGGGATTGAAGAATGGTTCTTGATGAAGACTACAAAGTGGTTAAAGAAAATTAAGATATGTGACATTTTTGTCAT